GACCCACCGCTGTCAGCTGGATATGACTCGCACTCATGAGCAATTAGTAATACCCATCGACCAAGTCGAGTGTGCTGTACTTTGTACAGCCAATTATATTGTTCTGGAGAACATCATTCCTAGGATCGGCGTCTGTGCCGGAATGGTGGCAGCGTTTTGCTTATTAAAAGGTTGAGCGATACGCCACTTGCCGTTGGGCTTCCGGACTCAAAGCGAGGGTGTCGAGTGAGAAAACTTGCTCTCGCGCACCATTCCTGCCTCGTGTTTGCATAGAAAAAGGCGTCAATGACGTCACACTGCTCCTTGGGCAGGAACCATTGGCGTGTTACGCAGTATTTGGCTCTCGGAACCAGGTCGATCTCATGACGAACACCTCAGTCCAGAGGTATGACCGATGACTGGTTTTTGGAGACAACGTCTTGAGATTCCTTTAGCAAAGGATAGTACAGAGGATCGACGATCCATTTCGTGCGTTCAGCACCTTCTTGATTTCCTACAACTGGCAGTCTGGCCCAAGGCACTAACGCATGAAGCGAGGGTTGAGCACGTCGACATTTTCGCGCGTGCGACCATATGTGCTCTGCACTCATACATTACAGGCCACCAGTACATGGCGCTCACTTTAAACTCGTCCGAGGTGACGAAAAATGCACTTCTCACAATATTTTCTGACTTGATATTCTTACCATGAGGTACATCACACGTCGAGTGTCACTGTGGATCAGTGCTGTAGTGCGTCAAGCCTCAGAATAAGGTGTAACGGTGTAAAATTACATCCAATACTTTGATAAAGCCGTAACTAAGCTCACATATTTCTTGCTTTCTGAAGCTTTATTAAATCGGACTCGTGTTGTACGCATCGCCTCATCGATTTGTGACGTCATCATCGTGACATGAGGCAGTTCATAGTTAAGGCGATGCGAAGGTGCATTCGCTACCACATTAAGACGACCTGGCTTATACCTTACTTCAATATACACTCGGCACAGAAAGATAGTCATCTTAGTTTTCTTCTCGGTCGAGGTGCCCATCGATAAGCTTATCGGCAGAAAATTCGACTTGAAGCGGATACCCGCGTGGGGAGTTCCTGGCCGGCCTAGCATTTGGTCAACGGTGGTAATACTCCAACCTTTGCTGACATTCGTGCTTCAGGCAAATCAGTCGTGCTAAGCAACAATGCGGTGTCCTGATTCTTCTCCGCATTGGCGCATATCGAAGAGCTGTACAGAGGATTAAATTAAGCATCTATATAAAGTAACAGCTATTCAGCATGGAGGCGTCTGAAGGCGCCAGCATTTTGCATCATTGCTGCAACAGGGTTGCCGCGCACTTTGCACAGGACAAGATCCAACTTGGAGAGTCCGTGTTACAACGCTCGGAGGCTGGAATGCTCTTTCACGAACGAAACCGAGAGCCCTATAAGTAACTTACAATAAAATCTCTTGTACTTATTTCTAAGGGAGTAAATCAAAAATAAGCATTTGCTTATTGACATGATTTCTATTGACAATTTATCGGATCTGAGAGAAAAACGCACAAAATGTGATATCTATCCACAATGGGTGCACCTTTCGCAGTGATTAAAATGCTTCATGCGCATTCACCACTTGGTAATGCAGATATCATACACTTATATTTCGAAAAAAATCTGATGCAACTTGCGAAGATGTTGCTGATAATCAGCGAAGAGGGACAAGCAGTGACACACGTACGACCGGCGCAAGCATACTGCGTTTTGACATGGCGTGCTAAAGCTCGCTGCAACCCCTAATTTTCAGTACCCCTCCTAGCTTTTATTGTAGCAATTGAGGCTTACCTTGGAATAAATCTTTGATTAGATTGCAGACATGTGGTGGGTATCATCATATTAATTATGTGAGTAGATGGACATCCATGTACAAAAAACAGCTCATGCACACGATAAATGTGTTCACGGAAAAGTGCTGGTATCGTGGCGACCATATGAACTCAAAATGTGCAACGCAAGGACTGTAGCACTGTATCTTATTCATGTTGGTGAGACAGATTGGTCTCTGGTATCGAATAATTCGCTGCTCTCTTATTATTCTCATATTGATGACACAGACAATTGTCTCTATCGCCGGACCTAGTCTTGATATCTCGCCATCTATTTTCATTTTCCAATACAACGACAATGTGCCTGGAATTATCACTGAAAAGTTATCTTGTCAGTAGAATCCATTCGTGGGCTCACATGTACAAATGTACAATCGCTAATCGAAATGATATGATTCGGGCGCTATCATATCCACTAATATTGTGAATGGTAGTTGCCTCAACTTATTAACTAAGGAATAGGAAACTATTGGGTTATAATGAGTTCATACTCGTTCAATAATCAGAGCTACTTGTTGACATTTGTGAAAGACAACAGAGAAGTGCGACAAAACGTGAGGATCTGTAATATCTTCCCAAGCGTTGCACAATCATACAGCACGGATGGTCTGTCGTCACTTACGGCAATCTTTGTGTCAGACAGCAATTGCCTTGAATGGTCTCATGGAGTATGCCGTATCTTGTGAATCCAGGTTATGGGATTGCGGCCACGTACTATATATAGTACATTGGCACTGGCGTGGCAGGTACGCCAGATGATGATGATCACAGATGTATATATCGCTGTTCCTGGGAACGTATCTTGTAATACAGTAGTAGATATTCTTCCTGTATTAATCTTTACAGGGCCAATTACGCATAGCTATATTTTCGATGGAGAGTGTTGATACGTGCAGATCGCCATTGATACAAATATCCAAATAGACACGGCTTTGTTCACAGAGCACATGCGTATTAGCTTCTCGAATAAGCAAAGTAACATCTAGTAGATTATCATGTTGAGTCCAAATGACCATAACCACGCTCTAATATGTAGCGTTTTATCGCAGAGTCGTTATCTTGGTATATTGCCAAGGCATCTGCGTACTTGAATAATTAGCAGAGTCACTACAATTGATCCCTCTGAGTTTGATTATATTTTCGATTGTAAGCAATACGTCAATATTTTTACCATACAAACATCTATTGAGCTGAAGCTGAAGAAGCATTGCACGTATCGTTAGTTCTTTTGACGTCTTATATCCGCAGTTGCAATGATAGCTTTCAAGATAAAAAAGTAGCTACATATAGTCTCTCCATTCCAAGTCATAGATTGCTCAACTATCAGTATAATCGCGCTATGATAAAGACAATAAGATGAGCTTTGGTCATTCAAAGAGACTTGATAAACTTATAGTAATCGTGAAGTTTCCAGACTTAGTGGATTCGGTCACTAAGAATAAGTCGCGGTTGTTTCGAGGCTGCAGAGATTGGCACGCATGCACAGGGACGGAAGCCAGTTGCAAAAAAGAACCTTCACAATCGGCACCAACCCTCCCATGTCATGATGTGACACCTATTAATACTGTAAGGTAAAGGGGTATATAGCTGTCCAGAAAGTATAACGCGCCGTAAGAGAGCTGGCATTACCAGCGACTAGTAGCTTTTTAATGCAAAAGAAGATGAACTTAAGCCTACACCTGAGCTTTCAGCAAAACTGCACCATGTTTTTCTGAACCGTCTTCACGGTCTTGTCTCTATCACGTAAATGAGCTGACAAGTAAAAGGGGTAGGTTCTGGCATCAGACTAGTCCCAACTGGACTTCACGGTTGGTTGAAAGTGAGCTCAAATCCAAAGAGCAGTTTTTAAAATTGATACCATTCTGCATTTTGCGTCTTTCAAGACTAGCTTACCTGTGGGAATCGGGAGTAAGAAGTAGCAACAACACATGGCTTCGCTATTGGATGCATTGGTATGCGGCTACGCATCTCTTTTTTGCATGAGTGAGCGACGTGTCTCACCCCAAATGTCGTCTAGAGTGCACGCTGTAAATGGACAGAAACATTTGCCGCGTCATAAGAAAACGACTAAATTGTCAGTCAACGACCAACTGCGCGTACTGATTGGCAACGTGATTAGTGAGAATGAGCTTGAAGAGCGTGTACGTAGACTGTCGAGTTTTGTTTATTACAATTTAGCTTAAGTGTTTTGGAAATATGATCTGCAGCTCTCGTTTGGACGCATGTTGGGTACTGGTGCGACTTCTAAAGTTTACGAGGCAGTGGATACAAAGACTGGAAGACGCGTCTCGGTTAAAGTGTTTGACAAATTGTCAATGGTGGAAGCACGTCGTTCCATGGTCGCGGACGGTCAGTACATACCCGAAAAGGCTGTGCACCGGGTACGTCGACGACTGTTGAAGCTCGTGTCGGAGCTCGAGATTTCCAAGTCACTGGACCATCCTAACATTGTCAAATACATTGGTGCATATGAAACGTCACACCGCATCTGCATCGTCCACGAACTTGTGGAAGGATCGGACTTGCTGGAGTATTTGCTGGAAAATGGGAAGATGTCTGAGAGCAAGGCGACAGGTGTATTTAAACAACTGCTTTCGGCGCTGGAGTACTGTCACAATCGCAACCTTTTTCATCGTGACTTAAAATTGGAAAATGTCATGGTAACTAAAGATTTGAAAGTGAAACTTATTGACTTTGGTCTGTCCGAGATTCTTAACAGTTCAAAGCAGCCACTAAGGACAGTCTGCGGCACGCCTTTGTACTGCAGTCCAGAGATTCTTTTTCTTCACACCTCAACTGCAGCCGCCCGTAGTGGCTTTTTAGGTGGCCCTGCAGATATATGGAGCGTCGGTGTGCTAATCTTTGCTCTTTTAACGGGTTGTGCTCCTTTCGATGACTCCGACTTTCATCGACTGCGCCGAGATGTTTCACGTAATCGCATCAACTACCCTACGTACATATCTGATCAGGCAAGAAAACTTTTAGAGACGATTCTTGTGTCAGATCCCGAACTTCGGCCGACGATTTCAGATTTACTTTCACATAGTTGGTTTATGGAGACAGTTGATGTCAATTTTAATTCCAGCAATAAGGAAGAATGGAAGTGCACCAAACAAGAGAGCGAGGTGAATATCAACATTTGCTATCGCTCCCTCTCTTGTCGACGTGACAGTGGCTCTGGTGGTACATACAGCTCTAGTGCAAGTCTTGATGATGTATTAAAGCTGTCAGCACCTTTACACACGGCGAAGTGATAGTAATATACTAATAAATTGCTTATTAACTATCGTTGACCATAAGCATTTATTTGTGATAGAGTGCTTCTATATATTGAGTTGATCCGAGACTCAAGCAATAAGTATCTTGATGTCACTCATACATTATTTTGAGACGAAGCTCTTCAGCTCGACCCGTCGAGCATCCATTGTTTTCTGGGAAGCTGTACTTCTGCGTGAGTGAGTCTGCTCTCTGTTTATGTAAAAAACAACCATGGCGTTTGCTTTGTTAGTGCTCGATCTATTTATTTGATTGAGTCTTAGACGCAGCTTGTGTTTCTTCAGCCGCATAGCTTCTGCTTTCTTCGGCAGTTTCATTCGCCTCGGCATGTCTCCGTCCATTTGCTTTCTAGCAGCCAGAACCTTACGTCCTTGCGTGTGACACTTTTTCAAACGCTTCCGGCTCGTACACTGCTTTTCGCTGATAGAGAACAAAAGATTCGCGAGCCTTGTCACTCATCTCTTGGGCGTGCGTCTTGCTTCTGCATAGCTGCATGCTCGCGCTATTGCTTAAGAAGAATGTCGGGTGATCAAGTGATCGATTGATCGCTGCAATGCTTTTGACATGTGAACGTATTCGCTTTGGATATATTCAGCAAGCAAGGCTTTGCATACTGCATCCATCAGCTTCTGGCCTGCTTCCTCCTCTAATTTCTCTCTAGTCCCGAGTCGTATCCACAGCGGCTTCGAGTGACACTGGATGTTTTACTGGCAGCACTCGCTGCCTCACTAAAATAGCCAGCTTTTTTAGCGACAGCTGCGTTGGCGATCATCGACACCACTGTACGTTGATAAAAGCATTTACGTGTTCAGACTCCTGGTCTTAAAGAGCGACTCTTGAGGTGGCTGCGGCGCTCCTGACGCGACTTTTGGGGCATCAAACTGGCTGCATATTTTCGTGGCGTGCTTACTGGCGTTGGCTGCTACCACTCATGTCACAATCCTAGTCTTTAATGTTAAACCAATCGCTGAGGTGTTATCATGGGTAAGACGTCTAAAGACAAGCGGGTGCGTCAACTGAACTGATTCTGTTAAAATTATCTCTCGATCTCACGTCACTTTTGTACTTCAAAGGATATCTACTACCGCAAGGCGAAGGAGCAGGGCTACCGTGCACGCTCGGCCTTTAAGTTGCTTCAGCTTGACGATAAATTTGATTTATTTCGTAATGTCACGCGCGTCGTTGACTTGTGTGCGGCCCCTGGTGGATGGAGTCAGGTGATTGCAGAGCGAGTGTCTAAAAAAAGCACCATTATTGCTGTGGATCTCATGGAGATGGCGCCATTAGATGGTGTAGTACAGTTACAGGGCGACATTACGCACAAAGTGACAGCCGACGAAATTGTGGCACAGTTTCGTGGTCAGAAAGCGCAGGTTGTCGTGAGCGATGGTGCTCCAGATGTGCTTGGATTGCATGACTTGGATGAGTATTTACAAGCTCAGCTTGTGCTTGCCGGACTTAATATTAGCCTTCTGATCTTGGACGACGGTGGTACGTTTGTAGCCAAACTTTTTCGCGGCAAAGAAGTATCTTTGCTGTATGCCCAGCTTCGTCGATTTTTTAAGAATGTGACATGTGCTAAGCCGAAAACGAGTCGCAACTCTAGTTTTGAGTCCTTTGTCGTTTGCCAGAACTTTCATCTGCCTGAGAATTTCGTGCCAGATATTGAGCGGAACTTGCTGGATCTGCGATACGCTGAAGATGCAGAAGATGTTGACGAATGGTATAATAGCCACATATCAGCGGAGCGTGGCGTGTGTGTTGACGTTGTGTTTTTGAGTGCTGGTGACGTATTTGGCTACGATGCAGACCAGTCATACCCGCTTGACGAAGACAAGGAAGGTTCAGCAGCTGAGAGCAATGGCACAAAATACATTCATCAGGAGCCACTCCAAAAGCCTATTAACCCGCCTTATGCCAGTGCTCTCAAAAAACATCAAAGCAGATGATAGAGCGTATGTACTAGAGCTATAAGCACACATTCTTAATGGTTGCTAGTAAAATTTCTTAACTCTCTCTGACTTCATAGAAGCATTTCTTCGGAGAGCTTTTCACGGATGACACGCGTCAAGATAAAAAAGATTTTATTGTGTTTGCGTTATTACCTTGAGGATACAGACATGTAAATCGGCAGTGATCTTTCGGCAATTTTGTGTCATGTTTTACAAAATCTTATACGCATTATTTTATTAGCCATGCATACAGATTTTCTGATGAAGCAGAACCAGAAACCTTTCTTACAAAATATTCCAAATATCAGGCAATTTCGCATTTTTTTCTTGTCTAGTAACTCTGAGTGATTGTATAGATACATCTTTCTTTGTCTGAGCACAAAAGTTTGGATCGTAGTTATGTGACAGGCGTGACGACGGCACCTCCTCTTAATATGGGAGCTGGTGGTGGATCGATACTTGGATTTACAGCATCTAGATCCACATTGCATTTGCACATTGGACATGACTAGTGGTTGCATCAAGCGTGGATTTAGTCCTGATTCAATTAGGCTATTCGGATTATCAGAACTTACTGTATTTCGTTTCAGCCACTCATCAATGCAGGTGACATGAAATATGTGTTTGCAAGGTAAATTTCGAACGTCTTCACCGTCTTCAAAATCAATCTGCATTTTGGTCAGTAACATATTTTGTTCAATCATCAAAATGCTAAGTCATTTGATATCAAGCGTACCAAGCAAATTGGGCAAATATCTTCATTTTCAATCAAATTATCGCTCGCTGCATGATATTGCTCTGTTCGTGTGTCTGGTTTCCGCTCAGAACGATTATACTTCGTAATTTGAAGTTGGTCCAGCCTCTCCTTCATCACACCCCGAACAACTGCGACGCCTCGCATTTGAGCAGTACGTAACTGATCATTTAGAGCATCACTAAGTACTGACTATTGATCACAGTTTCAAACAAACGTACATTAGTTCGATCCGCGCGCCGCCACCTGAAAATAACTGCTAACAGAACGAAAATGATCACGAGAATAAACGCTCCTAGCATGTAAGCTAGTGATTCCGGGTCCAGAGGAAGCTTATTCATATTTGCATCAATTGTCACAGCATTCGTCGTGTTGAAAACCCAAACATCACCGAGTTGGCTTTGGTAGCTCCCTCCATGGATAACCATACTGTCTCCACGCCAAATAGTAGCTTGGTGATTATAGCGCAACGAAGGAGAAGCATCATCACTCCTAGTGATAACATGCCGTGCTTCCAATTCCATTTTTTGAAAATCGAACTCGCCAAGAACAATATCATCGTAGACGTAACCACTTGAGCTTTGTTGTGGTTTATAATATCCTCCAAAAAACCACATATTAGACCCTTTCGTCGTAACTATTGACGTGTAGGCACGAGGGACGTAAGTAGATGGAGTTATACTCAACCATTCGTTAACTCTCAGGTCGTAGACCCATGCATCATCCAGTAAAGTCCAACTTGAAAATAATAAGTGCCTACCACTATACACTAACAAATAAGCGTCGCTATCATTATTATCGTCATATAACAACGCAACTGAATGCGAAAATCGTTCTGGAGGCTGCTGGAATCCTGCAGATTCCATCTTTTCCCACGTAAATGTGTTAAGGTCATACCTCCACAGGTCGTTAAAATTAACCGGATTGTCCTCACCTTTTTCGTCATAGGCAATTCCACCAAACATAAATAAAAATTCATTGTAAATAACAACACCAGCCTCTGATCGTGCGTCCGGTACATCACTGATTAAGTTTGCTGATCTTGGATCCATAATCCATTTTGGGGTGTCATCCGTCAATCGCAACCGCCAGACATCATTATACTGCACTGCTGGAACGCTACTCCTAA